TAGCCCTATAGCCCTACAGCCCTATAGCCCTATAGCCCTATAGCCCTATAGCCCTATAGCCCTATAGCCCTATAGTACTATAGCCCTACAGCCCTAATAGCCCTACTAGCCCTAATTGCCCTATAGCCCTATAGCCCTACTAGCCCTATAGCCCTATAGCCCTATAGGCCTAATAGCCCTATAGCCCTACAGCCCTATAGCTCAATAGCCCCATAGCCCTATAACCACCCTATAGCCTTACAGCCCTATAGCCCTATAGTCCTATAGCCTTATAGCCCTATAGCTCTATAGCCCTAATAGCACTATAGCCCTATAGCCCTATAGCCCTATAGCCCTATAGCCCAATAACCCCATAGCCTTATAGCCCTGTAGTCCTATAGCCCTATAGCCCCATAGCCCTATAGCCTTACAAAAGAGTGTTTGTTTTCTCTCCAGTATCATTGGTATTACAATGACGATGATGATGACGATGACGACGACGGTGACGACGACGACGATTACGATAATGATGATGATGCTGAAGATGATGATGACGATGATGACGATGATGATGGTGATGATGAGGAGGAAGAGGATGGTGGTGGTGTTGGCGATGATGATGATGATGTTGATGATGGTAATTCTGATGGTGGCGATGACGATGACGATGACGGTGACGGTGACGATGACGACGATGATGATGTTGATGACGATGCTGATGATGATTATGGCGGTGATGATGATGATGCTGATGCTGATGATGATGGTGATGTTGGTGGTTGTTGTTGTCGTCGTAGTTGTTGTTGCTGTTGTTGTTGTCGTTATTGTTGTTGCTGTTGTTGTGGTGGTGGTGGTTGTTCTTGTCGGTGTTGTTGCTGTCGTCTTTGTTGTTGTTGTTGTTGTGGTTGTTGTTGTCGTTGGTGTCGTTGTTGTCGTTCTTGTCGTCGTTGTTGTTATGGTTGTGATCGTTATTGTTATTGTCATGGTTCTTGTTATTGCTCTTGTTATGGTTATTGTTATTGTCATTGTTTTTGTGCTTGTAGTTGTTCTTGTTATTGTTATTGGTCTTGGTCTTTGTCTTGTTCTGGTTACTGATATTATAATTGTTGTGGCTATTGTTCTTGTTCTTGTTGTTTATTATCGTTATTGCTATTGTTTTTGTTATCATTATTGCTTTTGTTCTTGTTTTTGCTGTTGTTTTTGCTGTTGTTGTGATTGTTGTTGTTGTTGTTGTTGTTGTTGTTGTTGTTGTTGTTGTTGTTGTTGTTGAACATTATTAATTCTAAAGAATAATTATTGTTGGGACCCCTGGTGCACGGCCCCCCCGCCGCGCCTAGGCCGCAGCTACATTTTCATCATTTTTTCGCGAAAGCTTCAGAAAAGTGGATGGGGTCCAGATCCGGTTGTTTTGTTGTAATCCGTTTTCCCTTGCAAAAAACACTATAAAATGACATTTCTTGTTCTAATATAATCAAATTTCAAGAATCCCTTGCAAAAAATAAGGTAAAGTGGACATTCGCGCGCGCAAGACGAAATCCTTCCAAAAGCTTAGTGTTCGGAGCGATTTTAACATAAAAACATCAAAAAACCAATGGTTTTTCAACAAAACAAATGTCAAAATCTCATCCCGCGCGCTCTTGCGGATTCGTAGGAAACCCAACACTTTTTAAACATTTCTGTCAAACGGGCTTTTGCGAGCAACTTTTTCGAACTTCTGCGACAACGGTTGCGCACCTGCCAGGGCCATCATCCCTGTCAAATAATACCATGCGGGACACATTCGTTTTTTCTTCGCGCGCGCACGCCGTCGTCGTCGGCCGCGGGGCCCTGAATAGTAGCCACGGTCGTCCGCATGCCACGAAGTGAAGTGTCCGAACGTCATAGGGCGGGAAGCTGGGTGTGGGTGGTGGCGAAGAGTCGTTTGGAAATTTGGTAGAGCTTGAACCGGCCCCCCCACAAAGTGGGGGTATTGCCCGCCTCCTATGAAAACCCTGGCACTGGTGAGAACGGAGTGTCCCCACGTGCTAGTAATTGTGGTTGTTGTTGTTGCTGTTGTTACTGGTGTTGCTGTTGTTGCTGTTGTTGTTGGTTGTGGTTGTTGCGCACCCTGCTGCTGCCTTGGGGCAGCTTGCTGCTGTCTCGGGGCGTCCTTTGTGTGTGTGTGTGTGCGTGTGTGCGTGCGTGCGTGCGTGCGTGCTTGCGTCCGTGTGTGTGTGTGTGTGGCTCTTTCCGCGAGCGCAGTCACTCTGCCTAGCCGCCGATGAAAACAGTGTGTGTGTGTGGTTGTGTTGGCACCTGCTTCCTGTAGGCCCGTGTCCCCCCCGCCATTCATGGGTTTCCAGGTCGGCCTCGGTCTTCTGGTCGTTCTACTCTGCTTACTCGCTCCCCTCGCCTTCCAGTCCCGTTTGGCTTATGTCACCCTCACCGCAATGTAGCTCCGTCTACCCACCGTCCCCTCTGCCATCCACGCCTGGACGGCTTATGGCTGCACGCGGGTGCGAGACCTAAAGCGGTCTCTGAGGGCTCGGGCGCTTCTAGTCCGCGCGCGTGTTTCCTGCTTTGAGACCTTCTCCGCCCTGTCGCTGCGCGCATGGCCGCGATGCCAAAAAGCGTGTGTGTGAGAGAGAGAGTGTGTGTATGTGTGCTCCTGGGCCATTCGCTTCGTGCAGACCTCGCATTACACCCAGCGGGCACAGCACTTTTCTGGTGGCAGTCTGAAGCATATATTGCTTTTCGTCACTTGCAGTACCTGGTCTGCCTACATGGGCGGATCCGCAGTCCTTTCCCTTACTTGCAGTACCTAGTCGGCCCACACCTGGGCGGTTCAACTGCGCGTACCCTTGCGTTCCGCGTTCTGGGCCTCGTCAGCACCTGTGAATGCACCGACGCAGCGGCCCGGCCGCTGCCACGGTCCCCCCGTGGCCGAGGCTGGCCGCGCCAGCGCAAACAGGAGGGAAGTCTTCCGCCTCCGAGTGCCCGAGTGCCCCCCTCCTCCCCCCGCCTCCGCGGCCGCCCTGTCTGTCTCAGTCTCTCCTCTTGCACGCTGGGCAGTTCGCTATTCGGTAGCCCCGTTTAGCCCGACCGTTGGCGCAGTGACTTCTGCCTCGCCGCCGGCGAAAAAGTGTGTGTGTGTGTGTCTGTTTGTGTGCGTGTGTGTGTGACTCAAGCCTGGCCCAAGCCCCTGGCTCAAGCGATATTTTTGCCAGTGCTGCCGCCCCGCCGCTCCGCCTGTGGGCGTCACGGCTGGGGCGTCTTCCTCCCTGTTCGTTTTTTCGCAGTTTGCTCACCCTCCCTCGCGCGCCGCCATGGCGCTGCCCAGGTGCTCGCAGCCGCTGCCCCGGTTGCCCGCAGCCGCCACCCGCGCTGGCCTCCCGGGCTTGGTCTTGCCGCCCGCCGTTGGCGCCCCAGCTTCGGCTGGTACCACGCCCGTTACCGCCGTGGGGAAAGGGTTGCCGTCAGGTCCTGCTACTCTTCGATTTGCACCTTTGCACCCCGGGAGTTCCCCCCCGCGCACGGAGCCCTGCCGCGGGCCCCATGGTGCAGCAACCGCCTCGGGCCGCCGGCGGGGCTGGTCGCGCCGCGCGCTCGGGGCGTGACCCGTCCCCCTGAGCGGCCCGCTTCCTCCGCCCTCTCTTTCGGCCGCGTCCTTCGCCGCTTCCCCCTCCTGCATGGTGGCGCAATTCGCTCCAACGGCACCCCCGTTTAGGCCTTTCCGCTCGCGCAGACGACCCCTGCTTCGCCGCCGACGCAACAAATGTGTGTATATATATATAACCTATATATATATGTATATAGAGGTTATATTTATATAAAACCTATATATATATATATATATATATATATATATGTATATATATATAGGTGTGCGTGTGTGTTTGTGTGTGGGGGGGGCGCCTGTAAGACAGCCGATGGGCAGTATAACGCGCTTCGACGTGCCGTTGGCATGATGGCGGCTCCTGTTCATTTTCTTCGTCCTCCTCTCATTCCCGTGACATGTCCAATTTTCTTCGTAGCATGTCGCCAGAGGGTTATAATAGGTGTAAAAACCAGAAAATTTCCACAGAGGGCACGAGGAACCCTAGAACGCCCAGTCAGGCAGCCGTGTCGGTTGAATTTTCACGGAAACTTGTTTTCGCTTCAGTGCCGAGTGCATTTTTGGTCTGGACGGCCACTGCCCCTTGAAAGTGATACCTTAGGTGCACGTGGCCGTGCACTCGCCTGCTCTTGGGGTGATTTGATGTGGTGTTCCTTCTACTATTCGTTTTCGCGCAGTAATGCTAATACTTTTCTACGGGTGCATCTCGCATATTCTGCGTCACTGCGCCACCGCTCCGTTTTAACAGGGGCCGCGCCTTGGCGCGTATGCGAGGGTCCGCCCAAGTGTCCGTCCGTCGGCCTACTCCTTTTGTCAGAGTGAGGGGGCCGAACGGTCATTCATTGTCCCTGGATGCGTGGCTGAAGTGCGGATCCGTGGTGCGGATTGTGTTTGTTGTTGTTGATGTTGTCGTCGTCCGCCCCGCGACCCGGCCTGCGACCCGGCCCGCGACCCATCCGCGACCCACTTCGCGACCCAGCCGCGACACACCCCGCGACCCACCCCGCGATCCAACCGCGACCCACCCGCGACCGACCCCGCGACCCGCTCGCGACACCCGCGACCCTCCTGCGACCCTCCCGCGACCCGCCCGCGACCCACCCGCGACCTGGCCCGCGACCCACCCACGACCCACCGTCGATTCACCCGCGACCCACCTGCGACCCGACCAGCGACACACCGACTTTGTTTTTACAAAAAATCGGCGCCTGCGGCGGGTTCGTTGTGTAGCTTGAAAAATTGTGCGCGTGCTGCGGGATTCTTCAATGCTTCGCAGACTGTCAACATCCCCGCCGTCCCCTCACTCTTATCCGCAACTGCGGGGTGCTACGTGTATCCTACTCCTTTTATTCCTCCCTGCCTCCTCGTGCTTTTCTTTCCCTTCCGCCTCCTGTCTCTCCGCCCGCGCCCCCCCCCCGCGTGCCAGGCACAAAGACTGGGTCCACAGGACGCATGGCGGCGGAACGCCTCGTGAACGAGCTGATCCAGGAGAGGGGCGCTTCCTCTCGGGGTGGCAGCGCGAGGAGGAGGAAGAAGAGGAGGAGGAGGAGGAAGAGGAGGAGGAGGAGGAGGAGGAGGAGGAGGAGAAGCAGGAGGAAAAGGAGGAGGAGGAGGAGGAGGAAGGGGCGGAGGAGAAGCAGGAGGAGGATGAGGAGGAGGAGGAGGAGGAGGAGGAGGCGGAAGCGGAGGAGGAGGCGCAGGAGGAGGAGGAAGAGGAGGAGGAGGAGGCGAAGGCGGAGGCGGAGGAGGCGGAGGAGGAGGAGGAGGAGACATAATAATAATACTAATAATACTAAAGGTTAATCGACTAATCATAAGAAGAAGACGAATCATACTAATAATACCAATATCAGTAGTCATAATAATAATAGCCGTAATGCTTATATTAATACTAAGGAGAATATTGCGAATAATACAAATAATACGAATACTAATAGTAATACTACGAGTAAGAATAGTAAAACATAACAGTACTATTAATAATAACAATAAGACTAATAATACGAAGACTAATAATACGAAAACTAAGCACACTACTAAGCATACTCACACTTATACTAGTAATACGGATGATGATAATATGGATGCTGATCACACTAATAATGATCAAAATAATAATTCTAATACTAATCAGCATACTATTACTACTACTACTACTACTACTACTACGACTACTACTACTACTACTACTACTACTACTACTACCACGACTACGACTACTATTACTACTACTACTACTACTATTACTACTACTACTACTACTACTACTACTACTACTACTACTAGAATTAACAATATTACTAATACTAGTACTACTATTAATAATACGAATAATACTATTAGTAATAATAATACTACCAACAAAAATATTAGTAATACAAAGAGTTTTAATACTATTCATTATTATACTACTAGTACTACTAATACTAATACTACTACTAATACTAATACTACGACTAATACTAGTAATACTAATATGAATAATGCGAAGAATAATCCTAAGACGCATTCTACTAAGACGAATGCTGAGAAGAATACGAATGATAACAAGACTAAGAAAAATACGAACACTACTGATAATATGAAGAGGAGGAGGGGAAGCAGGAGGAGGAGGAGGTTATGAGGAGGAGGAGGCGGAGGATAGGAGGAGGAGGATAGGAGGAGGACAGGAGGAGGACAGGAGGAGGATAGGAGGAGGATAGAAGGAGGATACGAGGAAGATAGGAGGAGGATCGGAGGAGGATAACAGGACGATAATAGGAGGAGCAGGCGGAGGAGGAGGAGGATGAGGAGGAAGAGGAGGAGGAGGAGGAGGAGGAGGAGAGGAAGAGGAGGAAGAGGAGGAAGATGAGGACGAGGATGAGGATAAGATGAGGATAGGATGAGGATAGGATGAGGAGGAGGAGGAGGAGGAGGAGGAGGAGGATAGAAGGGGGATAGGAGGAGTATAAGAGTAGGATATAAGGACGATAAAAAGGAGTATAGGAGGAGGATAGGAGGATAGGAGGAGGATAGGAGGAGGATCGGAGGAAGATCGGAGGAGGATCGGAGGAGAATTGGAAAATGAAATGAGGAGGATCGGAGGAGGATCGGATGAGGATGGAGGAGGATATTAGGAAGGGGATGAGGAGGA